CGTAGGCGCAAACGTGCCACCTCTTCGAATATCATGTGCTCCTGATATCAAAATGCAAAATCGGCCAGAATTCCAATACTTACCGAAAGAGGTGCCCCTTATACTAGGCAACCAATACTTACAAATATGTCGGACCGATTGCCTGCGTGTAGTCGCAAACGTGCCACCTCTTCGCGCATCATATGCTCCTGATACCAAAATGTAAAATTGGCCAGAATCTCGATATCTACCGAAAATATAGCCCCTTGAATTAGGCAACCCATATTTACAGAGCTGTCGTACCGATTGCCTGCTTGTAGGCGCAAACGTGTCACCTCTTCGCACATCTTGTACTCCTGATACCAAAATGTAAAATTTCCTCAGAATTTCGATACGTACCTGGTATTTCTGGTGCCAGTTCCTCGCATATCATGTACTCATGATACCAAAATGTAAAATTTCCTCAGAATTTCGATACGTACCTGATATCTTTCGTGCCAGTTTCTCGCATATCATGTACTCCTGATACCAAAATGTAAAATTTCCTCTGAATTTCGATACGTACCTGGTATTTATCGTGCCACCTCTTCGGATATCATGTTTTCCTGATACCAGGAGTAAAATTTGCCCAGAATTTCGATACGTACCATATATTGGCGGGTGGCGGACGGTCGTTGCGTGGTATGGACGTGCCTCGCACCGAGGAGAGTTTTTGTGCAAGTTAAAGGGGATTTTGTGTGCTAAGATCGGTGATAGGTGGCGAAGAGTTATATCTAGAAGTGGGCTTTGTGATTATAAATTAAATCAGCGTTGGAATACCGGTGGAAAGGCTGAAATTGGAAAAATACTCCCTGGAGGGAAGCTAGCCTTAGAAACATGGAGGATGATAAGAGGCCGGATGTGAAGACCATGAAATTGCTGAATGTACGAGCGGAAGATCAAGTGAGAAAAGGGGAAGAAAGAAAACTTGGAAACGGATTGGCCGAAAGTCAAATTTCACTAGGCAGGGGTTTAATAAGAGGAATGAAAATGGTAGGTAAACACGATTACCCAAGGTATGGTAAAAAGCGACCCCTGTCGACTCGAAGAGATTACAGAAACATAGAAGGAGAAGATTTAGAAATCAGAAAGGAGAAGCAGTGTAAAGCAAACAAAGAACAGAGGACAGAATTTTATACAAGTAGTGGAAAAGTTGAGAGTACAGAAAATAAGATAGAAGGAAATGAAAAGGAAAAACAAATCTTTAATGGAAATGAGAATGATAAAGTAAAGATCATAAGCAACACTCTGGTTAAGACCACAGTGAAAAGTAAAAACTGGAAATACGATGACAATACCGAACAAGTGAAAGAAGTGAACAAATTCTCGTGTGATGAAAACAATGACAAAAATTCAAAAGATATTATTTTATAAAAGCGCTGACGGCCGCGCTTGTACGCGAACAAGTGACTTGACGTGCATCGAAGGACATTGACGCTGCCGCCTAGCGCGTAGCCTTCGCTACAGCGGCCGCTCGAACAGTCTACGCACGCTCTGATTGGTCGGGGTTTTCGCTTAATATCTCCTTAACGAAGCCCCATCCGACATTTTTGCAAAGGAAATTGTTGTTCAGAATCGTTTCAGCTACCCC